GAGAAAATCAGGAAGAAGCGGTGGAAGTGGATAGGACACACACTACGAAAAGCACTTAACTGCGTCTCAAGACAAGCCCTCACTTGGAACCCTCAAGGCAAAAGGGAAAGAGGAAGGCCAAGGAACACATTACGCCGAAAAATAGAGAAAGATATGAGAAGAATGAACAAAAATTGGACAGAACTTGAAAGGCAAACCCAGGACAGAGTTGGTTGGAAAAGACTGGTGGGCGGCCTATGCTCCGTTGGGGGTAACAGGCATAAGTAAGTAAGTAAAGGATATGCATGACATTGGCCATGAATCAATGACCGACTAATTGCAAACTAAAATATTCATCAAATATTCTTAACTGTATCTTCTCAACTTCAGTCATATTTATTAAAGGATATTCCACATACCTTTAAAAATTTAACTTTCTTGACTATTTTACTGTAGGTTTTATCGACAAAGTTGGTACATTTTTGGAAGAATGCACTTTCATATAATTCTAAGCAAAAATAACGGAGTATTAGCTGACTGCTATCTGAACCTAGGTTATAAATGATAACTTTATCGTGCAAATTTATAATTCGTTTTTCGATAACTCATGGACTTTAAAGGTCCAGATATAAGTTGTCGATAAACTGATACAAAAATACATGGAGCAGTCACCCTTAGCACCAGTAAGACTAAGATAACTGTCGGCACTGAACTCCACAATTTTTAGATCATCGCCATGGGAAAGTAATTTTTGCTTGTTCTTCTGTTTTCTACCTTCGATGTAGTTTAGTATTTATAACGTTTTGAGATGAACAATATCGTAATTAATTATACTCGTATCCTAATATATTAAATTAGAACCCGCTTAGATTTGTTACAAATATCTGTTTTCTTTATCTACTTAACATACGAAGTTCGAATAAACACTATGGGGGTAGTCGAATTTACAAACTTGGAGTTGGACTGTTATGTGATTAGAGTTTTCTAAACTAGAATAAAAACACAAAAATGTTAATGGAAATGAAAACTCAAAAAAAGTAAAAATAGTATAGATTACTGATCTGAGTAGGTTCGATAAGAGAGGATCGAAATTAGTCACTATGTGATGTAAAATCCAGTAAGCTCGTGTGCTAAAAGGAATTGGAAAAGAAGTACTGGTATAGCGTACCAATAAAATGATCAAAATACTTCACCTAAAGGGGGTGCCCACATCTTTTATTTCACCTCTAAACTGAATCCTAGATATGTCACATGCGACAGATAACGGCAAACCTAAGGACGATATTAAACACATCTTTAAGCTTGTCGATCAGACTGCATTTTACATAATGAGGCAGATTTCTTTCTAAATATAATGTTCGATAGAGTTGCAATAAAAGTTAGGTCAACTGTCCTGTCTAGTGAATTCGTAGAGCTCCTTAATGTGACCTTCTTCAAAATGGACTTGATCAAGATCTTCAGTATTTATATAGCTGAACAAATTGAGTCTGAAACCCTTCAAAGATGTTTAGTGGAGCAACTTCACCTTTAAGTCATATTTTGTGCGTCTTTGTATAACATCAGTGCAACTCATCGTGTATGTGAGGCATTTTCATCTTCATGGCCGGAGTATGACAGCAACTCTCCCAAAGCTAGTCTTTGCCAAACCTGAGTCAAATGTGTTTCCTAGGTTGTATATTTTCATTTCTGCAGCAACTTGGATGAATTTCCGGATCTTCCACAATATACGTACATTCCATGTATCTATGTTAATGGTTGCTCTGGTTTTCAGAAGGGGCATCGGCTTCGTGATTTCTGAAGAAACTTGGCTTTCTTCATGGGACGTCATAACTCTTCTAAATGAAGACCTAACCCCAAGGGCAAAAATTTAAATGGTTACAATTGTTTTTCCTGGTTAGCGTTTTTTTGACGAGTTAGTTTTCTACGGGATGGGGTCGTTAATTCCATGGAATGGATTACATATAAACAAAAGTCATTTCCAAATGTTGCCAGTCTATTTTTAAGCTTACGAATTCCCACTCCGTTAAAACATTAAATTGGATATGCTGCTTCACGAAGACTGGGCTAGACTACACATACTAACAGAGACAAAATATGACTAAGCTGATCGATAAATTCAGTTTGAAAAACCACATCTCATTGTTTGTGTGTCTATCCATCGACTGTCAGTGTGGCTTTGTTCTTTTTTGGATTTTGAGCGTGGACAAACCCACTTAGTCATGCAAATTTAGACTATCGATTTATTTATTTATATATTGAATAAGGCCGTGACCTACAAATTTAACCAAATCTGATGCGGTATAGAGAAGGTGGGATTTTGATCACAGGTCATGAAAACTAATTGACCTTTTCTGGACAGAAAATAGGCTAATGTCTTTTACGGCCTTTCTAGCCTAAGTTTGACAAAGTTATTTGCAGAACACTTTTGTCTTGAATTTCATTGCTCATTTTCGCATCGGTTATCCAAAAATTTAAGAAGTCGTGCATTTCATTTTGAATTTCGTGATTGTTTAAAAGAGTTGAGATGGCAAAACATTCTGAATACAATACATAATCAAAGGGTTTTAATGTACTGTTTTTCATTCTAATAACTAGTGGGGACGTCATGTGATGCCATACATGTTTCTGTTTCAATTCATCAGATCATTCTAAGCAAATAAACTGAACAAAGTCAAGAAAACGGATATGGGAAATATGAGGGAGAATTGTGTATCCAGATGATTATCGATGAGTTTTTTGTTCAAAAACTTAATAACTGCTGACCCGGATCTCCTTTAAAATTGTGCACGTGGTAATGCTCGATTATCCACTGCAACATTTCATGTAGAGGTCAAATGATTTTGTTTGTCACTGGAAAGTAGAGTTCTTAACAACTAATACGTTACTTCAACGAAAATGTTTTGACTTAGTATCTCAAAAAATCTCATGAATGGATAGACGATATTAAACTATGGACCACGAAAAATTTGGAGTTTAACTGACTCCTGTTAGAGGAAACACGAGTTCACAGACACAGAACTTTATTTTAAAGTGTAAATAATTTACGTTACTTTTATATTAATAGCTTGACCATAGGATACTAGTACCATAAGTGACTACTAGTAATACGCTATATACATGAAATCGTGTAATAAAATATTTTTGTAATTATGATTGCATCTTTAATGCTGAATTACGAGCTCTTGTCGGTAAAACGAATAGGATATTTCGAATAGTTTACGTATTCACGGCAAAACCATACTTTACCTGAAATTTAGACTTCCTCCATTCGTTAACGCATAATTAAAGGCAACTAAACATTTGATCATATTTATATTTGATGGGAAAGTGAGATGTAGGCTAAATGAGATCCATAGTGTTCAAACAGATTTCTTTAGTTCCTTGTTCTTAATTGAACTATGGATTCGTAGAGTTGTGTTCCTACAGCTAGTTCATATTTTCGTGACCGCCTGAAGAGTACATTTTTATATGTACCAAGAGAGAGATTCTAAATACATATTTAAGATTTTACGAGAATATGAGATCGAGTGACTATTCCTAGACTTTTACCAAGTTATAGGAAGCAATAGATGAAGTTCAAAATACCAACTTTGTTGTTGTAGATTACATTTTATTTCACTTGATGAAAAAAATCCGATGGAAGGCAAACTACTTTATGGGAAATCTTTGTCCAACTATAAGCGGTTTTCTATATAGAATTCTATTTCAAAAAACTTTGTGCGAAGCTCGGGATACCTGTGAGAGACCTTTTAAACAAAGTTTCAGAACGGAAAGTAGTCGAGTCACTTATATATTGGATCTCATTAGAGTGCATTAAATTGGATGGAATACAACTTTTTCTGAGACAGTATTATGATAAATCCACGAGTTCCTAGAGTTATCGATTGGGACAAAAATAAAAATCCCTAGATTCAATATTCTAAACTAATAAACTGCAGTCTTATACATGATTTGTGTATGGATAGATAAGCTAAAAGTAGCGAAAATTGCTGGTCAAGAATTAGCAATTTTCTATAGGTCAGGTCTGAAAGGGTCAAATTTATATACATCCAATTAAAAGCTATCCATGCAACCTTGAGAAAATCAGCCAATCACAGTTTACAAATAATGAATGACTAATAGCTATCAAGAGACAAGTAAATACAGAGCGATATAATATAAATAGGAAGACAAGATTTTGTCCTGTCGTACGCGTTCGTCTACAGAACAATGCCTCCTAAAGTTGTGTCTGGTAAGGCCGCTAAGAAAGCTTCAAAGGTGAAATTGCCAAAGGTTGATAAGAAGAAGAAGAGGAGGAGGAAGGAGAGCTATGCTATTTACATCTACAAAGTTCTCCGTCAAGTCCACCCTGACACAGGTATCTCATCAAAGGCAATGTCAATCATGAACTCATTCGTGAATGACATTTTCGAACGTATAGCTGCAGAAGCTAGCCGACTGTCTCACTATAACAAGAAGTCGACCATATCAAGCCGCGAGGTGCAGACGGCTGTCCGATTACTTCTGCCAGGTGAATTGGCAAAGCACGCTGTATCTGAAGGCACGAAAGCAGTGACCAAGTACAGTGGATCCAAATAAACGTTTGGAGTTTGTTGGTAGAGAACGCTTCCACGGCCCTATTCAGGGCCATCACCAAATGATTTCTACTTATTCCAGTTCTGGGTTGGGCTAATTACAAAGTTTATACGGCTGTTTTTTTTTTCACGTCCACTTACGTTTAGTGTCGTTATATCCAGACAATACGATTCGGGTTGGCAATCAGATGTGGTTTGTTAGCTTGCTTGCGTGATCTTATACCGGTCGGCACTGTCTTAGTGCGTGTATCTAGTTTGGTAACTTAGCCATTTATTATCTGTGCGTAAAAGGCAGATCAATGGTCCGGCCCACAATAATCTCGTCTGCTTAGTTGTTGATCGTAATAAGATGTTACACACACATGCACTAGCATCATACGGTCTGCACACTGTAGTAAGGACACATACAGCATGATAAATTGTCGTAATACTTAGTAAACGACAGATATGTTTCACAAATTATTTATAATTTGTTTACTTGGACCCGTATTGGCACGATCCGACGAAGCCGAACGTGAGTTTTTTGTGTTGGCTTAATAATTGTCCTCAAATGCTAATCAATTTATCGTAATTCCGACGGTCTGCAGAGGCGTATGGCTTGAGCAGTAGCTTTCTGATTAAATTTGGAACAAATAATTCCGTCCCAATCAACAGTACTGTAAATCTTCGTATGTAAGTATGTAAGTACATCAGTTGCCATACCACAAAAGCGCAGAAAGAGGTGGTTAAGTAATCGGTAATCGGAATACAGTTTAGATACAGCAACTCGTTTCGCGGCGCACAACCAGGCAGTAGATTTTAACCCACTATTCAGTGACCTAATGGCTTTCTACCGTGTTTAGACCTGGCCGATCCTAGCTTTCTTCCAAACATTACATACGGTGGTTAGGCACACCCTTCGACTACCATCATTACCTCGTCTCCATACGTTGTGCCGGGCAACATGAGCAATGCTTCGAAGACATAGTCGATCAGTAATAGTCTGCTCATTGGCTTATTCTAAGTCAGTAAACGGGTCTCCTGGGACAGGGCTTATTCCTGATTATGTTATTATATAGAAGTTAAACTTTTACGGAGATTGTGGACATCCCGGAGGCGCACCAAATGGATTGATGGTGTCTGTTGACAGTTCGCCATAAGCTCTCACTCAACCAGTAATGTTCGAGTGGAGAGTCTTTTAATGACAGAAACTGCAACAGAACCTCATTATATGCTGAGACTGATCCTCCCTAAGGTCGAGAAATATTACTTTGTCGGGTGTCGGCACGAGTTTATACATCCATCCTCGTTTTCCCTATTCTGTTCTTCACGAGCTCCAGTTAGTAGTCTGAACTGTTGCCTATCGTCTCTACCATTACTATCTCTCGCTATAGCTACCCGCTACTGTTCTCAATCATTGCGTAGGCTTTTTGTCAGACATATAAGCTTATGTGTTGTTCTAATTTTCACAATGGAAATCTTTAAAATTTTTGATAAAACTCCAAGCTGTCTAAGGGTTGGTACTACTTAGTACATGGCTGCCTAACTTTTTCTAGTTGTTCCTGAAAAGTATTCTTAGCTTAATTATCATTTAGTAGATCCCTAGGAGCTTTCCTTGCGATAATTTTATTACGTCCAGTTAGCCTCAAACAAATGAGCGCTCGCACTAGAGCATGGTCTGAGTCTGAACAAGTGCTCCAGAATGAGCGGCAGTCTTCCATAGAGCATCACCAATGATGGCTTACTTGGGTCGGCAGGTCAAAAGATCTCTTACTTTATGCTTAAAGTTAGTGTTTGCTAGAAATAGCTGCAGCAGATGCACGCCATTATCTGTTCTATTAACCGCAACACCCTAAGCCTCACTCAGGTGTCTTTCGTTTTCACCTAGTCTACCTACTTGATTATTAAAGTCACCAGCCATTATTATTATATCAGAGCGTCTAACTTTTTGAAGACGTTTCTGTCAAACTTATCTTATACGTCATCCGTATTGCAGTCAGCGGGAGCCTAGGCAGATACGACGAAGAGGTAACGGCGAGTCGCCCTATCTTTACGAGTCCGTACCGTCATGTTTAGTCGGACAGCACATAAGCGACTGTCTATCGGGTCTAGTCCAAAAGAGCTTGTTCTGCCCGACGATTTAATACTATAAGTACGCCAGCGAGGCCACTGGAAGCAGCATCAGGGCTACCAGGAACACAAAGTGTAAACCTTGGTGATTCAGTATCTGCACTAGGTGAAATGAAATTGATGATTTTGCTAAGATCTTATATGCGCGTTTCAGAGACACAACATCCATCGATCGCCGGGATTCCAGAGTTCTAGCTAAGGAAGCCTGTTGCCCTATTTGGCACAACCTTCGAACATTAAAAGCGCCGTAAGGTAACAAACGAGCGAAGAAAGTGTTGGTCAAAGAGACACGAGAGTTATTAGATGAAGAAAGTATTTGGTTGTGACCGATTTGGTCTCGTTGTGCTTTTATGGGTATGAGGGCGGATGTTACTTCCCGGCTGCCCACACCGTGGAAGGGTTCTGGTTGTCAGTAGGGTTATCGGCCTCATGACTTCCGAAGGAACTCGACTTTCGTTATAATTCTTCTAAGTGAAGACCTTTTAACTCCCGGAGCAGAGTTTATATGGTTTGAATTATTTCTTCTTGTTAGCTTTTTTTTGGCGTTGGTTTTTTTCGGGATGGGGTCTCCAACCCCAATCTCAACCCTCCTTTATTCGGGCTTGGGACTGGCTGCAGCCCTGAAGGGTCTACAGGCGGAGTTGTGATAGCAAAGTATATATATATATATATTTTTAAATTATCAGTATCACGTACACCTTACTAAAACAGAAATGTGTAATCGCATGTAAAGTTATTAGGTACTCACATATAGAAGTAGGGTTTGATGATTTCATTTAAAATGCAAGCGGAAGCTTCTTAAATTAAAGTATCAACTTAAGACGTAAATTATCTATACTTTCCTGAATGATAATCCTAAGCAGAATTTTGTACGACTGTGTCCTGAAATCATTAGATTAAGTCCAGAAGGACTAACTGGTAAGGATTCCGGTGAAACACGAATATTTCGGAAACGACAACATCCAGTACGCCTTTTTTGATTCAAATTAAGTAGCCTGTCGTGTTATTCCAGAAACGTTTATAGTCATTCTTTAATGCCTATAACTGTTCGCACATAACTGCTTTCCGATTCTCACGCATATAAAATATCGTAACATTTTAAGGACTTCATCGATTCAAACGTATAATTGGTGGACAATCTGTCCCACGTGGTACGTATCCATGGGCAGCTTCAATTCAAGCTAAACGACACACGTCATGGTCAACATTAGTTACAGGAACGGAACAACACTATTGTGGTGCAGCTTTAATTAAACCTGATTGGGTAATCACAGCAGCGCATTGCTTATACGACAGTGGGGAAGATGATGAAATTATCAGGTAATTTTCTTCGTTATGTATATGTTCATTTTACGTGTACAGTTGAAGTGAAAAATAGTCTGTTACATGTAACGACATGATTTGGACGTCCATATAAAGGATCACTAAAAAGAGTAGGAATAAATTCCATGTTGTCAAGGACACCCAAATCTATTTTAGAACGTAATAATAGTCATGTTTTGCTCAGTTAGTCGCCAAGTTGTATTTGTTTCGGAGTGATCTTTGGAGTCATCACTCTTGCCTTGTTATAATTTTTCTTTCATCATGACGGACTGCATAGCACTTGACAAGTCCCAACAGCATAGAGTGATATTTCTGTCGTTGAAAGCTTTTCACTATTCATGGCTTTTTGTTAGTAAACCATTAGTGGGTGTTGTGAATGGTAAAAGTTTTGAGACCAGATTAATAATTCCCCTCTATATCCTGATTGATTCTTTAGTATAAGGTGAAAATGGTGGACGATAATGTAGTTTACGCCCACTCCTGAAAGGTGACTTCAAGATTAAAATCTCCAAGTGATAGCCTTCAATGCTTTCTTAAGGTAACGCATAAATTAGATGCAGGTAGTATACTCAATGATTTGCGAGGCTAATGTTAGCAACTAGTATTCTAAAAGTGATGTCAGTCTTTAGAATTAATAATCAGTGATTGCAACCACAGACTCATTAAGTACTTAGATTATTTCAAAGACAATGGATAAACAGGATTCATCATTGAGGGCAGTACAAACAGCGAAAAATTGTTCACTACCAGTAGAGCTCAGAAAGTGCATTTCGTCTTACTTTAGGCTTGTTAGTTTGATCAAATATAATTACTAATATGAACAACCAGAAATTTAAAACACTGTCAAAGTGAATGGTGATTATCAGCTACCTTGATTAAAAAAGAAAATACTCGATTCCTGAAAATGAGTTCATTCCAACAAATTATAAAGAAAAAGTCCAATAAATTGGATTATTTGGTAAACATATTGTTATGACTGAAGAATTTGATGCTTTTTTATCCACTGTATTACATACCGTGACTAGACGGGTGATAGAGTTTATATTACCACTGAATTGGATACTCGAATGGTACACCACATATATGAGAAGTCAAATTTTCCTCTCACTAGCACCTATAATATATATATTCTTGGGAGTGGGTAGGCTCCCTCTCCTTCTGATGGTACGTCATAAAAACTAGTGGTAGGTGGTGGATCGGCGAACCGAGCATCAGGAGGAACTGCCATCCGATCTGGTTTTAACTGGTTGTAGTGCACAGTTATCTCGTCATCCTGTGGTTACGCAATGCAAACAGTTGGGGATCGGATGAGGACAAGTTCGAAGGGGCCTTAGCAAGGCTGGTGGAATTTACTTTCCGTAACGATGTCATAGGGCGGCGTAGCCACACGCGACCTTCAACTGTATACACCGGTCCTTGCGCCTGAAAATCGTACAAGTCTTTTTGATGTCCGCTAGCGTAGCCCAAGTGGATGTTGACCAAGCGGGATGCGTCAGCCAGGCAGATAGGGAGAGTACGTATATACGGTACATGTTCTTGTTCTTTGCAGGGCAACAAAGGCGACTGTATCTCCACCGGTAAGCGTAATTCGTATCCGTACAGTAAAATAGCAGGTGATGATCCAGTGGACCCATGAACCGATATACGTTTAGTTAAAAGGCATTGAGGTAGCATATCATCCCACAATTCAGGCGACGAACGACTGTAAGATGGCGTTAGTAGTTCTGTTTGTTCTATTCACGAGGCCGTTACCCTCTAGGTGATACACAGTAGTATGTGTCTTCATGATTCCTAATAGCTGACATTTCAGCGATGAGATGACTTTCGAAGGCTGAAATTTAGTCGGATTGAAATGAGAATGGGGCACCGTCACTGGAAACCCAATGATCGGTGAAGGCTAGGGCAACCGTAAGGGAGTCTTGCTGCAGAATGGGTACTGCTTCATATCATTTAGTAAAATAATCCACCGTAACTAGTATGTAGCGATTTTCTTTTTTTGCCGTTGTCAGTAGTCACATGATATCAATGCCAACTTGCTAGTGTGGTCCTGTTGTCACCAACGGAGTCAACGATGCATGGGGTGTCAGCTGAGGCGACTTTATACGGCAACACGTGTTACACCTTAGGAAATTGATTAAACGTTGGAAGTTGTTTATACAGACTAGGCATTGAATAAAACAAATATTTTCAGGTGGGTCAAATGTCTAAACGAGGAGTATGAAGTCTGTAGGAATGATACAAGATGATGGCCGTTGACATCCTGTATTGAGAGAATTATCGAATACTTTCTATCATTTGTGCTACCTGGTCGCCTAGTCATTACCTAAATGATTGGTAATGAACTGACTTTTAGAGCCAAAAGCGTGACGGAAAAACCCGATGTCAGATAGACTCCAGCGTCATTTTAAGCGGTGGAAGAGATGACAACCTAAGTGTAATGTTGCAAACAGAGTATCTTAGATGATGAGACTGAAGTAATCTAAATCTTTCGAGTTAAACTGTCAGCAATCTCAGTGCGCATGCTTTCATCGGACAGGTATTGTAAAACATTGGTTGTGTTTAAATGCCGTCTACTAAATTGAAATTATCCTGTCGGGCACTAGAAAACTTTGTACATAGTTTTAGCGAAATCTGTGCAATATTTATTTCTTTATCTTTATTCTAGCTATCTACATCCAAAAATGTGGCATGTGAGAATGGCAACTGAAAAACTAAGCGTAAGTTGGTGTAATATTCCGATGTATTAAAACCATTTTAATGGGAAGTAAATTTAAAGCGTAGTACTCTAATTCAGTTTCTATTCTCTCGGTCATGAAATTCACTACCTTATACCAGTAGTTATGAAAACTGAAAGTTAGCAGCCACATAAACTCATGGACTAAACGGAGAGAAGCGATCAACTGAAATAATAGTTCATGATTGATCTAAGATGAACCATCATGGTCCAAGGCGCTTCTAAATTTGTAAAATAACTCTGATGACCTGGTAGAAGTTAGAATGACTAACCAATCATGTCGGGAATATTCAACAAGTTATTGGAATATAACGCTATTACTTACGGTTAGGAATGTTAGGTAATATGGCCTAATACCGGTAACTCTGCTGAGATTCTTTCCACACTTCATATTTCCCTAGATTTCAAGATCAACAGTACCATGGTTAACCTTTCATAATTCAGTCTGATTTGTTCTACTTGAACAGTATTTTTCATTTTTATTACATTTAGTGACCTGGCTCATATCGAACGCAGTCAATAGTGATAATGATCTCAGTGGGCTTATTTGGTCGAATAAGACCTCGTAATTTTCCTAATACTGAAGCGAATTTAGTTATCTTGAACAAATTCTTGGAGCATAGTTCTTTCGTAAAGATTATTTGTGAGTACTTGTTTACATTTGAGATAGCTACATTTCTCAGTTAACCTAAACTGTCGCACAGTTTAGAGAATTCATACGCGCTTCATATACTGCTTGCTGGTTTACAATGAGGCTGGAAATGCTTTTTAATGCCTGAATTCACTGAAATATTTACCCATACATCACAAAACACCACTTATTGAAGCTGATGTACGTACGTACGAAGTTCTACGTTGTTAGTGATTGACTCGTCGAGGCATGAAACACACGTCCCAACCACCCCAACCTCTTCTTAAATTTATTTCACTGTGATAAACTTCACGAACTCACAACTGGATTTCTTCCTTGGTGACCACACGATAATCGAGCATCGTTCGAAGACACCTATGATCGAATACTAGTAACCTGCGAATATCCTATACTCTTGCTGTTTCACAAGTAGGACGGAGCGAAGTGCTGCGCAGTAGACTCATCCTTTGGTTAGTAGACGTGTATCTCTTCTACGCGTCTAGCTTTAGTCAGACATCAAGCTATCAGCACTGATTAGACTCCCCAGAAATATGACGCTAAACTAATCCACTTCCCACTACTGGTTCACGTGAGATGCACAGCAATCGTGAAGCGACAGTTCGCATTTCAAGGTGGGAGCGCATTACGGACATGCATTGTTGCTTTCTGTGGTCAGAAGACTGTATTTCTCCAGCGTTTTCACCTAATGCAACAACGTCATCAGCATATTCTAAGTCAACAAGCGAATCTCCGGGATGTTCAACTCCTGAAAAGTAAAATGATGAGCGTCGTCTCTAAAAGCATTTCAGTGACAAAGTTAAATTAAAATGGGGATAGTAGGCAGCCCTGACAAGCACCACTGAAGGTTATCAATTGCGATGACAGTTCGCCATAAGCTGTAACCGGACCACTATTGTTCGGAGAGCCTGTTCAAAGTTAATGTTCATCTTTGGTATTCCATTCAATAACAGACACTGCCACAAATACTGACGATCAACGGAGTCAAGCATCACCTTAAAGTCGAGAATTACAACTACTGTGGGATATCTGAATGTGTCTATGTTCTATGGATGTAGCATCTCGCCATAAACATGTCCAGCTCTCAAACTAGGATGGTTTTCTCTAGTTAGGCATCGAAGTTAATACTTTGGACACTATTAGTTAGACTGATTACTCTGTAATTGTCATAGGACTTTTGTTTTCTTTTTTCAAAGAAACTGACACACTGAACACGGAAATCCATGCGACAAGGTGATATATGACATTTCAAGGATGGATTTTATAGTCTCCTGGCTTCTACTGAGATAAGACAGCATGACCACAGATGCAGGCTGTCTGAAACAAACACCTTGCTCAGTAAATGCATTAGTACAACCGGCAATAGGATTGATTTTGACCAAGATTTTGGTTCTCTTAACTAAACTACCTTACCATGAAGAATGGGACCTAAAGGAAGTATTATTCCAGGGAGTAGAGACCGATCGATCCTTTGAAATGGTCAAAACAGAATAACGTTTCAAGAGAGTAGCTAACAATAGAACAAAAGTAGTATGCGTATGACACCGTTTATTAATAGAACGACTTCGAAACATTAGAAATCAACAACTATATATTTAACGTGACGATAATGTGTGTACAATTTTTGTACAATCGACCATTGACGATATTCCTCCTAAAAGGTGAAAAGGAATTAATAATATAGCGTCTTAGAACCAGTTAGAATATCTATACATGACTAAAACAAAATGAAGATTATAGACAATCATACACTGGTTGTTAAAACCAGATGTGACTATGAAGAGCAAATAATGTTCAGCGTCGATGAAGTATTTTTAGGAAACTTTGTGTTAACTAATCTGTTTAACGGTCGTTCAAGATGTAGTCAACTCTCATCCTGTGGTCACATACGTATCGCGAAACTTGGAAAACCTGACCCCAGCCCTGGATTTTTCCGGGAATATTCCTAACAACCCGATAGGAAAGGTCACAATAATATGAAGAAGCTAAAACTGTGCTGGGGAACTTGAGCGTTAAGTGACCATATTCACTGTAATGTTCCAGGTCACGAAAAAAATTTTGTACATGTCACGAGCAGCCTTACTACATCCTAAGAAGTACCTAGCAAAGAGCATCACATCTCCAATATATTTATCTAAATAGCACATGCTGGTTTCGAATTTGGATGGGATGCTCAACAAACACAAACAAGACTGAGTGAAAAGTGTCGACGCTTTTTACTGGTGGTTATACATGACAATACTTACACTGTCAAATGAATAAACAGCATTAAATCCAGTTTTTAATCTACTAGCAATTGACTTAGTGAACCTTTAGATGAGCAATTGGAATGCATATTAGCTAATTAGAGAACGACAAGATCAAAACACTACAAAACCTGTCGATCATCGAATTATTTGAACTGAGAATACATACAAACAGGATATTTACTTCATGCATCCGTAATGAGATATTAGACAACAATTTTAGGACAACCCACTTAACTTGGTAAAATTAAGAACCTCAGCTTAGGTCGTTTCTGGCAAACAATGCAGATTGCTGAAATGTAGATAATCCAACGATCAGACAAGGATTCCATTGGTCAAGCTCTAGGTTGTTTTCGCCTCAAGGCCTGAAGAGCTTATTGGTTGAGATTGCCCTTGAGAAATAAAACCAATCAATGATCAGACATGGCGGGTTGGTCACTGAATTCTAGGAGACCTAAATAACAAAGCGATATAATATAAATAGGAAGACAAGATTTTGTCCTGTCGTACGCGTTCGTCTACAGAACAATGCCTCCTAAAGTTGTGTCTGGTAAGGCCGCTAAGAAAGCTTCAAAGGTGAAATTGCCAAAGGTTGATAAGAAGAAGAAGAGGAGGAGGAAGGAGAGCTATGCTATTTACATCTACAAAGTTCTCCGTCAAGTCCACCCTGACACAGGTATCTCATCAAAGGCAATGTCAATCATGAACTCATTCGTGAATGACATTTTCGAACGTATAGCTGCAGAAGCTAGCCGACTGTCTCACTATAACAAGAAGTCGACCATATCAAGCCGCGAGGTGCAGACGGCTGTCCGATTACTTCTGCCAGGTGAATTGGCAAAGCACGCTGTATCTGAAGGCACGAAAGCAGTGACCAAGTACAGTGGATCCAAATAAACGTTTGGAGTTTGTTGGTAGAGAACGCTTCCACGGCCCTATTCAGGGCCACCAGACTTTGATTTCGCTTTTGTTTTTGATTTCATTCTGTTAATTTCTGAACGAGAGAAAATACCTGTCCAAATGTTGTTTTCCTTGCTCGTTTGAGAAATTCTGGGTAGGTTAAGAGCTGCAGACAGGTCTGACACTGTCCGTCAATTCTATTATTACACATTTGAAATCATTAATCAATCATCATTGTTAGACCACCATTAGAAACCTGGAAGCACTGGACGGCCGTTTCGTCCTAGTATGGGACTCCTCAGCAGTGCGCATCCACGACTCCTGCTCCTCGCAGGATTCGAACCCGGGACCTTTGGCATTGTAGGCGAACGCCTTACCATCGGACCACTGGGCCGGCATCCAACGGTGTTAATGTCTAACTCTGATTGATCTAGGGATTTTGCGCGACCTCACCCATTTGTCTTTGGTAGTTACTGCCTACACCCGACAGGGTTGAACTCCACTGGTCACGTCTTCTCAACTAGAACTCCGAGAATTTCCTCACGAAGCTAGTCACTAGTGAGCACTGTTACATTATATTGGGGCACAGTTTTGGAGGTTTGAGTTTTTACACATTTGAAATCATTAATCAATCATCATTGTCTTCGATATCCTAATAGCAGGTTTTGAGGGTTCAGGTTTGTTATGACTATTGCTTTGACTGGATGGGGAAGGCTAGGACGAATGCGACAGGACCTGGTAGGTGTAATCCTGAACTAAGTAAGGATAGGTCGAGCAACAGTGCAAGCAATTTAGTAACATGCTAGCAGTGTTGAGGCAGTTTGGCCTGTTGACAGCTTCACTTGTGGGTAAGTCTCGACACGTACATGGGACGTGTGGTCTGTGTAGCTGACTACTCAATCTGCTTCAGGGCTGATCTAGTGAATGAATGGCTAACTGGGCCCTGAACTCGTGAGCATAATCTAAATAGCATGTAGCCTCAGTAAATACTCAGTTTGGTACATAGCAAGGTCCTTACTCCAATTCTGTCTACACAAGGCAAGTAAGTTATCTACTTGAATACTCTCAACGAGTCGAGAGAGATCCTGTTAAACTGGGACGGTCACTAGATCCTCATTGGGAAGGAAGTCAGCCAGCACGTCGCGAGGTAATCTTTCACCGATAGTTGTAAGTCCTGTCACTCAGTTG